TTTTTTTTTCTTTATTCCATATATTTGTTGGAAAGACTAGAACAAGTTAGATAGTCATTTCTCTATCATCGAATAAAACTCAATTTATGAATAATTGTGTATTGGTTATTTCAAGAGCATTTGTTCAAAAAAAAAAAAAGTTTTTTCAAGAGCACAACTATCAGCTACGTACTAGCATAATTACCGAGATAACCGTTTTAATAAAATAGTCTTTCTATTAGAGTATTGTTAGTATTTACATAAATACATCTGATCATATACAAAATCGTATCTTAAATAGAAGTAGCATATAATATAGAGGGAATTAGTTGGATTCAATACGATTTTGTTCTTGCAGAAATCATATTGAATTAAAAGGAACGGTGACAAAAGTGTGTCTTTCTCACCATGTATCTCATAGTATATATATTTGTCCGATTCTAGCCAAAGAGTCACTATCATTTGATCAAACAACTTCTACTATAGTAGAAGAGCATACTATCTCAGTAAATGTCTCAACCATTGAGAAAGTACCTACTTCAACAACTTTTGTATCTATTGAGTCTCCTCTTCAGAGAAGAGCACAAATTTCATCAGTCACAGCTCATGCTCATGCAAATGCTACTGTCCACAGGGAGAGGGCTAAATCTGCTGATCATAATCTTGGTTCTAATCAGTTTGCGTCATTGGTTTCTTCGGATGAGGAAGAAGATTTGTCCGATTCAGATAACGAATCTGATTCAATGGATCTTATGACTCATTCGGATAAAGAATCCTTCGAGAGAGGCCGGTTAAACCATCAAAAAAGGCTAAGGAGATGCATGGACAAACCACATGTCGTGGAAAGAGCAGAGGCCGTGGGAAACGAGGTGGTCGTGGCTAATTGTCTTCTGTCAAATATTATAGAATAGAATATATTATTGAGTTGTGTTTTATATGAGAACACAAGATACATACATATAGTGTCAACATTAACATAATGTTAACACCCACATAATGTAAACTTTCCTAAACACATAAGGAAATAACTTGTACAAGAAGTAATATAGAGATCTAGAATATTCTTCGGGTTGGGCTTCACGGGCTTCACTTCATAATGGACTTTAATGGTCCATATTACTTGGTCCGCAAGATACACATCTTACTTATCTCCAATACTCCCCCGCACAACAAAGGTGGGACGCGAAACGCAAAATATGCAACCACAAAGCGGAACACCTATGTCGTGGACATCATGTCGATGACGGACAAATTATGTCAACCGACTCCTCAGGGTATATAACTTCAATCTTCAAAAGAGGGTGGAACTTCAGCTTGTCTTTGGTCTTGGTAAAAGGGAATAACAACATTCCGTGGGCGCAAATCCTGCAACTCCACAAATAATCGTCCTATCTCGGACAGTCCACAAACCAGACTAAAAAAAAATGACCCAAAACATGAGCGTTCCAATAAATTCCCCCGTAATATGAGAAATCAAAACTCATATAAAAAAAATTAAATATTCTAATCAAGAATAAATCTCTCAAATCTATCAATCCGTGAAACCCAAAACCCATAAGCATCATCACTTTGTAGAATCTCCTAATTAAAAAACTCTTGCACTAATTCAATAAAGCCTTATTTAGAAAGAAACCTAATTATTGTAATAAACGAAAAATATCTCATTAAAATCAAAACCATAACGTGGACACAACCTCACGTCATCATCATCTGGATCGTCACCATCACCATCGTCTTCGACGTTATCACCTCCCAAGATCATTGAGGTCACAAAATTATAAACGCGGAAGCTTAACTTCGATCCACTAGAATCGAAGGCTCTGATACCATGTAGAAACTAGAGAAAGTTTTGGGGGAAAACTCTTTATTCTGTCTTATTGATCTCAAGAGAGTTGATACAATATATATAGAGACTAATTTAGGTTTAACCTAAGTAGATTAGGAAATAGATAAACATGAATAAGTAAATATTCTAAATTTCTTAATCCTTATCACAATAGGATATCTAGAATATTATTTGACTTCGGCTTCACGGGTTTCATGGGCTTCACGGGCTTGGTCCGCTGTCTTGCTTTCCAAATTACCTCAATACTCCCCCGCACGACAAACGTGGTACGCAAAACGCAAACTTTGCAATCACAAAGCGGAACACGTATGTCGTGGACAATATGTCGAGGACGGACAAATCATGTCAACAAACGCCTCTGGGTATAAACTTCAAGCTTGAAACTATGGGTGGAACTTCAACTCGTCTTCGGTCTTGGTAAAACGGGAATACATCCCGTGGGCGCAAATTATGCTGCTCCACAAACAATCATCCTTATCTTGGATAGTCCATAACTCGGACTAAACATGACCTAAAAACATGAGCATTCCAATGAACTGTACTAATGGTTAAACTATAACCAAACTCCCCCGTAATGGTAAAACTATTACCAAACTCTCCCACAATAAGAAAAGCGAGATATAAAATTACTCTGAAAAATTTTTAACTCAAGAATAATTCCAGAAAAAATAAAACTAGAAACTCGTATAAGACATAAACCGTTAGAATCATTACTTTAAATAAAAGAAAACCCCCAATTGATTATTGTACCAAAAACCAAAAAACTCTAACTAAGAGTAAATTTCTTTTCTTTAAAAAAAACGAAAAACCAAATTCCAATGGATTATAATTAAAACCTAACGTGGAACAAATCCACACTTAACGTCATCATCTCCGTCCCCACCGTCTTCAACGTCAATTCCTTCGACGGTCATTGTTTCCATGATCTCTTTCGAGTTTCGAGTGTGAGATCACAAAACTTTAAATGCGGAATTTTAATTTTGATCAACAAGGATCGACTGCTTTGATACCATGTCAAATATTATAGAATAGAATATATTATTGAGTTGTGTTTTATATGAGAACACAAGATACATACATATAGTGTCAACATTAACGTAATGTTAACACCCACATAATGTAAACTTTCCTAAACACATAAGGAAATAACTTGTACAAGAAGTAATATAGAGATCTACAATATTCTTTGGGTTGGGCTTCACGGGCTTCACTTCATAATGGACTTTAATGGTCCATATTACTTGGTCCGCAAGATACACATCTTGCTTATCTCCAATATCTTCAATAGCCTAGGGACTAAATCAATCGAAGTGGATGTTTCGATTGTCGTTGTGCATTGAATGTACCCTTTTTTATACTTCTTGTAGCTTTTGAAAAACTGCATGACTTTATTGTCATGGCTTAACTGGTTTCTTAATAAATAAGAATTTAAAAAAAAAAAAAAATCTTATAGTGGATTATTTTTAGAAAGTGTATTTATGTTTAGGAGACTGGCATATACAGTTTTCTTAAGATTACTCGTTTTGTTTAGGTATCTATCTATATATACATTTTTGGAGATATTTATGAAAGAAATCATATAGTTCCAACTTATTTACAATCAAATGTCAATGACATTAATTATTTAGATTTTCAAAATTAAATCAAAGATATTAACATAAAAAAAATCATTTCCAAAAATCTTAACCTAATATATTAAGCATAACTAATCTTTGCCACAATTACATCCATATTCAATTCGATTTCCTTAAAAGATCTCAACAATCCCTACATTTAATCATGACCATTCAAATCTTAATCCGGTTTTTAATCTTCAATCTTGACTGTCGGTCATACGCAACTAATTCAGAAATTATTATATAGAATTAATTATTATTAACGAAAATTTAAAAATGTATATATAAAATCAAACTTTTAAATTGATTTGAATTATATGTTTATTAAATAAAATATTATTAAAATAACAAAATGATGTTTAATTTCACGGGACAGGTTTAATATCACGGATAAAATCTTAAATTTACCAATCAAAATACAATTATACAATCTTAAACACTTAACAAAATAAACAATATTAAAAAATTTAATTAAAAAATCAATCTGCGGTGTACCGCGGAATAAAATCTAGTTTTATTTAGAATTGAATACAGATTAAAAAAAAAAATTATCCGTAAAAATCAAATTGAATAATGAATATCTCAAAATTCAAAAATATCTCCTCTGCACCTATCCCTAATTTGCATAGCATTGGTTTTCAGGATAGTGTCCACATGACACTTTCAATGTATAAACTATTTAACACCTAGCCAACAATTTTCATAACTATAAATGTACCTTCTAACATAAAAAAAAAATTAGAATAAATTGTATAGTCAAACACACAATGTTGCAATACGAATCAAATAACTATGTGAGGATTTGCTAAATTAAAAAAAAAAAAAAAGTCCCAATCAATCAATAAAAAATAAAAATCATCTAGATCTCTTACATATAATATTAGAGCACCAAAAAGTTGATAGACTTTAGATCAACATTTACACAACAAATTAAGCTTATGGACTTTGGATTAACATTTCAACGTAACAATATGATAATCCATCTGTATTGTACAAACGGGTAAGCATATGTCAAAAGAAATATGCATGTGTTTTTTTACTTATCTCACCAAAAAAGAACTTTTGTTGATTTTAGATATAGAAAAATATAGCTTATAGTATAGTGAAGAATTAAAATTTTGCGTGGAGCAAGATAGCAAGCGGCGCCGCAGCCATATCTCCCGTTCGAATTTTATAATTACAATCAAGAAAAGGTCAAATGCATTTCCCATTAATTGTCCCTAATTTGTATGGCTTTGTCTTTGTGTGTCACTAAGTCAACCTTTAATTGAAATCTTATATTGATCTTTACACTATACCGTTTTCTCCCTTATTGCTGCATTCTAACAATGCAATTTATCAATACCTTAACCTCAAAATTAGAGCGTGGTAGATATTAGAGATACTCATTTATCTATATAGAGATTTAATTGACCAATATCAACTCTTTGATATCTTTAATATCTTTAATATTTAATATCTTCATTCTCACTATATATTATTGTAAGTTTTTTTGTTGTTCTGTCTTAGATATGATAGAGATGTTGCTCTGGCTAATCAAATTTTAAACTTAACGTATGTGATTCGTGGTCAGGCCCAATAGTGAATCATAATAGGGCCTTTAAAAGGCCTTTTAAAACTAAAGGCACGCGCGTCACTCTTACGCACTCTAAGGACGCGTGGAGGTTTTACCTCAATTACACGTGACGTGAAGAAAGAGAAACTCCGATTCCAGAGCTTGGTGGTGGAGCAGTGGAGACGCTTCCTCGCGAATCTCGCAGTCCCACTCGTCTTCCTCGTCCCTCTTTTCCTTCGTTACCTTACCTCTCTCGGTCTCGCTCACTCGATTCAAGCCTCTCCGTCTTCTTACGCTGTGATTTCCAAACCCTAATTTTTCAATCCCTAAAGGTGAGTCTTTTGTTGCGTGTTCGTGTTCTTTGTTTTCGTTTCTACTCTTTTTCGTCTAATTAGCGATCTGGGTTGGTGTTTTTTTTGACGGATTTTGGTGGGTTCGTGTTAGATTATCGAAATTTTGGATTTTAACTAAAGGGTCGCTGGAAAAAATTGAATTTTGTGTAGCTATGACTTTTCCGATTTCGGGTTTGGTTCATGGGACGTTGAAAATTTGTTGAATTGTATAATAGAACTTGTCAGGATCCATCTGGGTATTTCTTAATTTATGATTTCCGGTGAAAAAGATTCATCGGGTAATCGAGAACATTTCTTTCTTTGTTTTGTATATTTATGCTAACATTTTTATAAAAAATATCTCTGGATCTGAGATGTGTCAATGGTCTTTGTTCCATGTGGAGTAGAGTAGATTCTAAGGTTTCTCTTTTGTTTTCTTTAATAATTGATTCACTGTCATGTCGCGTGAGTTGTTCTGTGAAGCATGTTCCTTTTGGTTGTCTTGTAACATGTCTGCACATCTTTTGTTATTTTTTTATTTCGTTTTATGTGATTTTGTTAACTTGTATTTGATTAGATGCGAGACTTTGTCTCACCAGTTATTTTTGGTCTCTATACATTGATTCTACATCTGTTTGCTTTCCATAACTTGTGGAATTGGTTTAGTCATTGTGTTAGTTATCTTGTGAGTTTGAATCACCCTTCCAAGATTCCAAGGCAGTGAGGTACATTGCTTCGTTTGTTTGGTCTCTATTCGTTTTGGTATGAGTTCCTTGATTTGATCTAAGTTTCATAGATTACCATTGTTTGTTTATCATGCATTTCCAGTGATATATGAATTAAACATGTTTATTCAAGCTTTTGCTGTGTTCTTTTTTGAATTTTGTTACTGATGTTGACATTAATGCATGTTGTATGCTGAATGGTGAACTAGAAAAATATCTGCAGTTCCCATGAAGAGATATATACGTGTATTGTTACAAAGTTTTATGTGGAATTCTTTTGCTAATCTTTTGAGGATTTGAATAGGTGTGATCTTGAGATTATGGCCAAAGCTAGGAGGGCAGGACGCAGGGTTCCTTCGCGGCGCTTCAGGGCAAGAGCAAAACCGTACAAATTTCCATCTTCTAACCGTCTTGTGGCAAGGAACATGTTTGCAGAAGATTGTTCAAAGTGTCTAGAGAAGAGGGACTGGGAGAATGTTATATGTTCGGTTTGCATGGAGTGTCCACACAATGCTGTTCTTCTCCTCTGCTCATCTCATGACAAGGGATGTCGTCCTTACATGTGTGGAACCAGTTTCCGGTATTCCAATTGCTTAGATCAGTACAAGAAAGCGTCAGCTAAGCTAAAGTCATCAAGCCATCAACAGATCAATAGGTCTGAGCTTGGAAATCTCACTTGCCCACTTTGTAGAGGCCAGGTGAAAGGTTGGACAATCGTACAGCCTGCTCGTGACTTTTTGAATCTTAAGAAGAGGATCTGTATGCAGGAGAACTGTGTTTTTGCTGGAACCTTCAAAGAGCTGAGGAAACACATGAAAGTTGACCACCCTAGTGCGAAGCCGCGTGAAGTGGATCCTGATGTGGAGCAGAATTGGAGAAGGCTTGAGATTGAGCATGACCGGGATGATGTTATGAGCACGATTAGGTCGACAATGCCTGGTACAGTGGTGTTTGGTGATTACGTAATTGAAAGGACCAATGCCAACGGTTCAGATTTAGATGAGGGTGATGATGGTGGGATTGATGCTGCACTTGGTAGGAATCTGGTGAATGTTTTCCTTCTGTTACATGCTTTTGGGGCATCAGAGAATCAGACAAGGCGCTCTGATTCAGATTCGAATGACTCGACAACAATCAACCGCGGAACAAGCGAGCTGAATTTCTCTGAAGAAGAGGATGAAGAGGAGGGGGAGAGGCATAGTAACAGTAACTCTTTGGCAAGTCGAATGAGGCGACAAGGACGTGTTCTGCTGGGACGTTCAGGTAGGAGACGTAGAGATAGAGAAGCTAACCAGAACCCGGGTCCTCCTCCTAGATGAGAGAGATCACAAGAATTCAAAACAGAACCCTTTATCTGATTCTGGGTTTCAGGTAAGTTTTATGATATGGTTAGGTACAAAATGTAGTTTCTACAAGTTTAAAACAAACAAAGAAAAGGCTTTTGGCTTTTGGCCTTTCTGCTTTTACCATTGGAGAATCTGGGAATTTGACTAAAATTCGTTTTCATGTGCTCTTGATGGTCAGAGAAGCAGTCTTGCAATCTCATGTTTTTTTTACTGTATTCTGAGGTAACTTTCTGCGTAGAAATTCACAAAATATATATCCTTGTGAATAAGCATGATCAGTGATGATGACCAATGAAGTCTGTTCACGAATTCATAATTCGTGTTTCCTTCTGTTTATAAGTTCAATGAAATATGTTTCCTTTTGTTTGTTGGTTTCGAGACTTACCTTATACCGTTGTGGAAGCTTCTAAGACCACCAACCTTGCAATAAACATGTGTTTGGGTTCTCTTAATTACATGATCTTGTTTTGGTGTTAGTGTATGATTTAAGTTTAAGCATTCGTTTCTTTTTCATGAACTTTGGTTAGTTTGGTTTTGTTGCACAAAATTCGAGTTTGATTCAGATTTTGTTCAAGTAATTATTTTTGTTTTTGTGTATACGGTTCGTTCAATCGGATTGATGCCTTCCTTCTATCCTTCACTCGTTTTTAACTCGTCGCTATCGAGTTTTGTCGTGTCCCCATTCTTTGGGCAAATTACAGAATCAATAAATGGAGGAAAATGACTGTAATTGTGAACCAAAAATCAAAAAGATTTGGGTTTGGTATTGGACAAAAAGTTGCATCCACCAAAAAATCCAAAAAACAATAGAAAGATAAAACGAATTGGCTATGGAAATAAAGGGTTATAAATTCTACTTATGTTTTTAAGCAATTAGAGTCCATTTGGATAATATAAAACTTACCTCCATTATATCATTTTGATGGATATTCAAACAAAATTTTAATTTTATTTCATTTAGTACAATCAATTCACTATCATTTGGAATCTAAATATTTCAGCCGAAAGCGTTATCGAGAAGAGAGAGACAAAAAAAAGGAGGAAAAACGTTTTGGCTTTTTAAAAAGTTTGAGGTAGAATAAAGTTTTACTTTTATAGATGTCGGTATCTTTAGGAAAATTTAGCATTATTGGCTTTCCTCTTTCTTTTTTTTCTTTGGTTATGCATAATTTTCCAGTTCTAAAAATTTCCGCTCATCCCGATTAATTCCCGCTAAATCGCTAAACTCATTTTCTCCGCCTCGATTAATGACAAATCCCTTAAAAATCAGTCACCCGATTACTCTCCACATTATCCGATTAATTCCCGCTTAATCCGATTATTTTCTGTCTATTCTTACATATTTCGATTATTTTTTTATTGCAAGTATAAATGCAGCGGTTGCGGTTGCAGTTGTGGGAGTTTGCGGAAGCGGGGGGGGGGGGATTGCGGTTTTAAGCGTTATTTAACATTTTAACCGACAGGTTTAGCGGTTGAAAATAGATGCGTTTGCGGAAGATTTACGACTGGTTGATCAGCGGGTACGATAGCGGTTAAACCAAAATTTACCAAAATAAATTTAATATATGATTATAAAAAGTATAAAAACACCAAAACTATAATTATCAAAATGTATAAAAATTTTAAACATGATTAATGATTAAAAACCATAAATAATTATTCAAATAAATTTTATATTGAAAACAAAAATAATTATTAATATGGAAAATTTAAAGTTAGATAATTATTTTTTTTTTTAGAATTAACGTGAATATATATAAGACTTGATAATATATGTTTTAATTTGTTCATTTTTCTTTTTTTTAAACTAACTGCAACCGTCCGCAACAACAAACGTTTGCGAAAATGAGCTTTTAAAATCCAGCGGTTCAAAACGGTATAAAATGGTTTTTATGATTGGTACCAACTGCTAACAACCACAACCGACCGCTAGCAACCGCTTGGCGGATGTAGCAGGAGAACCAATCAAGTGCAGAGTTATCGTTTAATCGTTTAATCGTATAAGAAGTTAATTTGATATTATGTTTTTCTTTCACGTGCATACGTTTCTCTCGGTATAGGAATATTTGCAATGCAGATATGCATGAGAAAATGATGATATCTGCTTTTGTACTTTTATTATGTTGCATCATGTGACATCTAAACGAACCAATCCATGAGATCGACACCGCTGAAAATATACTATGATACCAAAAAGTAAGCTGATAATAGACCACACTTTACTTTGAAAATGGATAAACGTAAATGATTTTTTATTTTATTTTTGTTAATGGACGTAAATAGTTTTTTATTAAAAGAAAATAAGTTATAATCGGTGAATATATATATAAGGGTATGTTTAACTTTCAGTTCGAATGTTAAACACAAGTAAATAGGCAAAGACATGAGTCTTTTTTATTTAACATATATAAAATGATTAGTAGTTTAGTACTAAAAATTTTCCAAATTCGAAAAATTTCCGAATTAATAGTATCATTTTTATGTCATTATTTCAAATCTTGTCTTATCAACTATATCTATCAAAAAACCTTTGATATAAAAAATTGAAACTATTTGAAGGAAAGAAAAGAAAACTGGCTAGGCCCAATGACAATGCTATAAGTACTCCTATTTCTGTAACAAAAAAATGAAGTTAATATAAAAGTAGCAAATTAAAAGTTTGTGTCGTCACGATGTGACATGACTGATAAAGAAGGAGAAGAGGCAGAAGAAGGAAATCATGGAAGTGAGTGAAGGTGAGAGAGACTGATGCCTGACTCCTAACCATTTCAAACTTTGGCACTGAAATTCATGGCGTTTATCTTTTTTTCTTTTTACCTTTTTTTTTCATTTTTTCGTGTAAATGAAACGACACCCACTTCTTCTATTCTAATAACGACTTTTCTTCTCTTCATATTCATGGAGTATTTCTCGCATTGATTTCACTTTTGCATAATTGGGTGAGCATTTTTTAGTTTGTTGTTCCTCCCATTTTATAGCACATGCTCTTTTTGATGTTAAAAGAGTGTATTTCTACAGTTTCATTGGTTCCATCGTTTGTTTCAAGATTTTTCCATTTTGGGTAAATGGTGGGGACTATTAGTAGAAACGGATTACGTATATCTAGCTATAACAATTTAGATCATATTGTTCAACTCAATATTATCTAAGTTAAAAAAAACCATACTATTAGTTTGGGGTTTGAGTTCTCATAAAGATATTAATGGCTTAACAATATATAAATAAATTTGGAACATCATGATGATTTTTCGAATTTTCTGAAAAATACGTAAGAAGCGAAAAAGAACGAGGTCTTCTCGGACGATAGAATGACAGTAACAAACTAATCGAATTTAATAATCCGTGTAACTCACACAAATATAAATTTTAGTTTTTGATTTTGATACATTAACTTAAGTCATTAACTACATCCATTGAAAATGTTGATATAGGTTTTCATGCTACAAAACGTAGTACTATTTATAAAGTTAATTATATATATTCATACAACTAATTTTTGTATAATATGTAATAGATATTTATTTTACACTATACACCATTTTTTAAATTTCACTGACAAAGAAAATGGTGCATAGTGTAAAACAAATATCTAGTACATATGAAAAACAAATATATATATATATATATATATATATATATATATATATATCTAGTACGATATATTATAAAAAAATACTAGGCTATGAAACAATCAATATAAAAATTGTAGAAAGAAAAAGGGAGTAAAGGGATTGGCTTTAGTTGAATCTGAACTAACCACACATGCATGTGTCAAGCAGTAATGCTTCATCAGGAGCAGTCCTTTTCCTTCTGTATTACACTCCGACATACATGCACACTTGAACTTGAAGACGCTTCTTTCTTCTTATTTAATAGTATAAAATTTAGTTATAATGAACACATACAGACACAGTCACACACAAACTATCCATTGTCATAATATTCTTTCACCATCCCTCGTTTTCTAGGTTTGATTAGTCAATATATAGCCATTACAACATTCAAAATAACTAAGCCCCTTTATATATATATAGCTTTCCATTGTAGTGGTAATTTTAAAATAAAATAAAGCTTGTTATATATTTGTTCAGAAAAAACAGTTAAATATTAAATAACTGATATACTCCCTTTTTCAACTCATACTCCTTATATATTATGTGTATATTGCTAATAAGTCCGTAAAAAAAGAATTGATGATAATTAAAACGTAATATTTTTTTTGTCAACATGTATTATATTAGATTCAAATCATATAGTAACCATGCCAATACAAACCACTAATTAAATTGATTACAGATTTTGTTGAGCTTAGTTATGATTATAAGCCTTTTGTTAGAAAACGACGTTTACAATGTATTTCATATACTAGTACATTTAGATACCATAGATAGTGAGGCATAATTATAACCTTGGAGAAAATTATTTGTTAGAGTATCAAGAGACCCACATGGCAACCATGCAAGCGTTTAATTTGTAATTATGACTCGCACCAAATACAAATATCTCGTCTTTAGCCACGGTTCTTCTAGTTTCTTATATACTTTTAAAGTTCTTGATTCTAATAATGATTGATTGTAAGATACTTGAATTGAACTTATGCTATTATGAATTATGATCATACGGTTTTACATGATACAATAAGTGTTTCTAAAATAAAATGCTACTATAAGTTCGGAAAAAAATTTGAGATAAAAAAATCTAAAGTTTTTTTAAATATTAATTGATATGAATAAAGGTTGTTTTACAGTTGTTACTTTTAGATCTGCTTAATCAGTTTTCTAAAGTTCTATATTTATAGGAGACATGGAGAACAATCTTCCACGATGGAGAAGATTGTTAGAGCACCCTTAATGGGAGTTTCTAAACTTGATCCTTAATAAATAATAAAATATATATTATTTAAATATTAGATAGGTACTTTAAATTTGGAGAAATTTAGCTCAATTGTTTTTTAACTAAAAAATAATTGAGCTAAGTTTCTCCAAATTTAAGGTACCCTTAATTAAAATAGATTATTTATCTATATTTACACTTTAATTTTATTTAAAAAACCTATGTTTAGAAACTCCCATTGAGGGTGCTTTTATGTTGATAGACAAGAACCTTTGAAACTGATTGAGCATAATCAAGAGAGGAGATAATAAAAATATGCAGGTAGAATTGAAATGTGGTACAACATCGCGGATAGAATATCTTTGTAAACTTTTAAGAAAATTTTGCAATCTTATGTAAAAAATGCAAAAAATATTTTTTTGAATATAATTTAACATTATATTCAAAAAAAAATTCTATAAAGATTTGATTAATCAATTTTATTTATTTTAGAAAAATGAGAAAACTACAGTTTAGAACGAAACTGCATATAGATCAAATTTTGTTTTTTTTTTCTATAAACCTAAAGTTCAGTTGAGAAAACTATTTACGAGTATAAGTATATTGTGTTTGAAAAACACATCAAATTATAAGGGTCAAAAGATATCTCATGAGATTTTGTCTTTACGTAAAAAGATATGATTTATTGTTTTTACCATAAATCCAAATAAAATCTACAATGATTCAAATTAAATTTTAGTAGTTTACCATTCAATTCATTAGACGATTTCAAACTACAGTCTACACGGACGTTAGATATGGATCGGAGCGAATTGTTTCCAGTTTCTACCTGAGAATTTGACTCACGATTTGACCTAATTATTATCCCTTGCATTTAATGCAAATAATTGACTGAAAAGAAAGAAAAAAATGCAAATATTTGTGGAAATTGCCAAATTGGTAATATGTTTAATTGACAAAATTCAGCTATGATATCCAAAAACCAAACTGAAAGTAAAATTAGTTTTTTTTTTTTTTTGTTGGTCATCGAAAGTACGATTAGTTATCTCTATGAAAACCAATATTTTTGTATCTAACTAATAAACTATGATAGAATTATATAACCTGTTTATTACATTAACCAAGTTACAATATCCACCAACCAACAGACCCAACATATTCATACAACAAAACTCTTCTCTTCTTTGGTTTTTGTTTGAGAAACAAAAAAAAAATCAAACCCCCAGTGAATATCCAACCCTGGTTACCCACAAACCAAGAATGTATTATAAAAAAACCAACGAATCTCAAAAGATGATCTTCAATTCCAATCAAAGAAACAAAAAAGAAAAGAAGAAGAATATTTTTTTTTCTTTTGTGTTCTCTCTTCAAGGTGTATGAGACTATGACGATGCTCTATCACTCGCCTTTTCTCCTTCGGTAGTAGCCGACGACATGTAGCTCACGGCGAGAGATGTGCTCTCATCAGTACAATGCAGCTGAGGAGGAGGTGGAACCAAAGCAGCAGTAGCTTGAAAATGTTGCTTGCAGTTGTGGCAAGTGATTTGCATCATCGTTGCACTAATCCTTCGACTTGCTTCTTCTCTAAAAAGCTGAGCTTTGTGAAGCTCGGCTCTCGCATGTTGCCTTATTCTCTTGGCTTCAGCAAACTCCAATTCCGCGATTTCGATCTGCCTCTTCGTTTCTCTTCTAGCCTCCTCTCTTTCTAAGCTCGTCTCTCCCTTCTCGTAGCTCTTCCTCTCAACTTCCGACATTGTAGTTTGATCCATTGTGCCTATAGACAGACTAAGGCTGGTCTCATCAGCACTATGCCTCGATGGAAGTAGCTGAAGCTCGATGCTCCCATTAGTCGCGCACGAGGCAACAAAAGGATAGACCAAAGCGGATGGTTGTTGATCGGACGGTGGGGATTGTCTTCTTTGTAAAGGATGTCCGGGCAATATAGGACCAATGGAGAGGTCCGCGTTTTCGTTGTTTCCGGCGATTGAAGCGGTTTGTGTATCGTTTGTAGTATGTTGTTGCTGCTCATGTAAACGGTGGTTCGAGGGTTGGGATCGGCGTACGGTGCAATTGTCTTGGTGCTCTATGAAACTCTCCACTCTGACAAACAAGAGTGTATTATATAAGTTAAACTAAAATGGAAAGCACAAAGGAATATTTGTATCTCGTGACAGATAATATAAATAATTAAGTTAGTGGAGTTAGGTATATCTTTTGGATTATATATATGATGCAAGACTTCGAGGTTTGGTAATGAAATCTGTTATGGGGTCAACGTAAGTAATCAAAACATAGTTCCTAATTATTAAATTAATTATAGTATTTTCAGACAACAGTCCAAACAAAACCTCATCAGGTTCCATTAGTAACGTTGTTTCAAGATCTGTGTACGTTATCTAAAAATCAAAACATGTACACGCTATACTAGAAAAAACATTCTTTGATTTACTTTAAGGATTCCGATAAATATATAATAAAAAATAATAGTTAAAAAGCTAGGGTTTGTTACTAAGAATGGAACCTGGAAAAAACTCGGCCGCAGTCACAGGAGTGGCCGCGAGTGCCACAGGTTTTGAGATGAGCTTTGTAATCAGATTGAACGGCGTAGCCTTTTGAGCATCGCTCGCAGATCCATTGCTTATGGTTACTATGTTTCCGTCGGAAGTGTTTCTTGATTCCCACGAGATCTCCGAGCGCGTGACAAGGGTTGTGGTGAAGACATGTCGGCTCCGGACAGACGTAGACTCTCTTTCTTACTTCCTCGTTGGTCTCTCTTTTTAGAAGCTTCCATGGAACTTTATGTCGTCTTCTATGCATCTGTAGATTCTGGTCCCTTTGAAACCCTTGGTTACAGATCTCACATACGTACCGATCCGATTCTAGTAACGTTCTTGGAGATAAAGATACTACCTCCGCCTCCGGATCTGCCACCGCCAAAAAATATGAATATCCATTTAGAAAAATCAAAATCTTTAACCGAATTATTGATTACTTTCCGAATAGAAAATCTAACAAGTAATTCTTGATAAGGGAATTGTTAAATACCCGGTGTCCCGGCGGGTCTCCGTTTGCGCTTCTGTGTCACGGCGGCTCCATTACCGTCGGGAAGAAGATCGGAGGAAGATGAAGATGGAGGAGGGTTGCGATGATGGTTGTTGATGTTCTTGGTGTTATTGCTTCTCTCGTAGTCTATCATCGGATGAGGTTTTTAATCTCACTTTTTGTTTGTTATCTCAAGACAGTGTGGTTTATAGTGAGAGAGGTACTGTGACTAAATGAAAAATAAGAACAAAATTGAGGAATCTTTTGTTTTTCATGTAGAGAAAGAAGGAGAGATTGTTTTTTATGTTTCCTTATTTATTTGGTAAAGAGTACTCATCTTTACTAATAGAAGAAGAAAGTAAGATGGGTTAAGAGAGAGAAACAAAGGGCTTTGTTTTCTGAAATCATCTTTTTTTTTCCTCACAAAAAGGGAAAAGCTTTTCTATTCCCTTTTACTATCCATCTTTTTATAATTTTCTTGGAAAAGAGAAAATAAATGAAACTTTCAACTTTTTGTTAATTGTTTCATTGACCTCTCACCTTAGATGGAGAAATGTATTGTATGGTCTTTGGTGCTTCAATCTTCTTCAGAGTAGTTATGAACCTCTCTCTTTCTCTCTCTCTTCTCTATCTGTACACTGTTTGTTTACAAACACAAAACATATATATGGAGAGAGATGTTTATACATATAAAGAGAGTGGGACAAGGAGCTTGGAGCCCACATTAGCATCAGGACAAGAAACAAAAAAACATCCCCTTTCACTACAAACAATTACAAGTCATTATTATTTCATATCATATAATATTCGATCAGAGTGAGTAAGTTTTGTTTTTCAAAGATAAATAAAGAAAGGATAGGTGAAAATATAAACGAATTCTTGAAAATTTGATGTTAAAGAGTACATGTTTTTTAATGGTGACAAATGTATATATGTGTAGCCTTTAGGGCTGGTGTAAATAAAAGGGAAGGGACATGAGAATATTTGTTTTGAAATAAGACACATGCATATCCCAATTCATGTTTCCGTATATATACAAATATACAATGTGGTGCCATCATCTCATGCCTTTTTATATAAGAAAGAGGTTTTAATCAAATATGAATAATGTGCCTACAAGTGAGAGAATCAGAAAATTTGCAATATATATAATTTTTCTTACAAGAAAAACAAAAAACAAACACAAAACCCTAGAGTCAGATCTGGTTTTTGAGTGTCAGCTGAGACCAATTCTATCCAACATCTCAAATAAAAGAAAAAATATAGATCTGGAATATGTTCGAAAGAATTTTCTTTATAAAAAAACATGTCTATAAAGTTTGTGTGTGTGTTGTGCGTATAACATATACTTAAAGTCCACCACCATCTCATTAAAGGGCATTTGTCTAACCAAGTGGAACTGTAAGAAAATTGAAGTAAATACAAAATTTATAAAAGTTTTATATATTTCATTTAAAAATAAAAAGAGAAACAAAAAGAAGATGATACTTTATTAATAGGAAGAGAAAGGAGAGGGTTGAGTTGGAAAGAATGGGTGGGAGGATGGGGGAGATGGATTCTCTCACATGCAATGCTTTTTTTTTGTAAAGTTGGATATATCAATCCTTCACAATCACATTCTCATTAAGATATTAGTGTATAATAATGATCACCTCTTTCTTTCATTTAAAGAATATATGCACTAAATAACCCTATATTTTACAAAACTAATGGATAAAAAATCATAAATAAGTTCATTATTTTATTTTTAATGTTTTTAGAAATTACATGGATTTTACGTGTATTTTTCAATATAACACACTATTTTACTAGATACTAAGTTAGGCCAAAAACAACTATTTCGTAGATGAATGAACTTTCTAAAATTTAGTTATAATTTTAAAACGTGCGCAGTAAATTTAAAAATGATTTATTATTTTTTCATGCTTTATAATTAACATTTTTTTTTTTGCGAATGATATGTATTCAGCTGAATCACTTTTTCAAATCCTGAAAACGTGAAAAATCGTGTATCATTTAAGCCCATTAGACCATTATTTGTATATATCACGCGTAGAAAAACATACAACTTATTTTAGTTTTGTCACCCGCTTATCTTTTGCAAATAAAACTCAATTATGGTCATGTAGCAACTAGCAACTTCACCCATATTTAAATGACTAATAAAGTAATTTATTTGATTGCATTAACTCAATTCTCTTTTTTTAATTAGTTGTTCTTTTGTACTTACCTTGAATTAACCCTGATCTTTAGGTTTAGCATTATCTATAACTCTCATTTTCTTAAAACAAGTAATACTATTCATTTGCACAAACTTGTATTTGTATATTTATAACACAAATAATAGCACCCGAAAACTCTTTAGTGGAGCTGTGCACTGAAACCTGAGCCATTTGTCGTCTCGTTCGCTCTTGTTGGTATCTGAAAGTTGCAACTTCAAAAGTAAAATTGACATTTTTTAGATTTCACTGAATCCCAAAACGGAGAGTATTGACTTTATGTAGCCTTTTACAGAAATTACTTTACACACATGAAGTCATGAAGAAGTAGTACGTGTCTATGTTACGCGTAGCTATACGAAGGCTTAAAATTTCCCAACACTACAAATTTAACTAGTTTCAGTGAGGAAGCCCTTTCAATGATTGTTGTTGGAGTAATTCTTTTACTCACCCAAGATATTGGATAGTCTACAAAGGGGGGAAATTTGTAGAAAAAAAAAATTGAGGTGTAGATGTAACATTGTATATTTGTATTACTAAAAAAAAAGTAAACACGAGAGGTGAAAAAATTTATCATAAAACATTTGATATTGACTCCAAAACTTCGTTTTAAAGGTTTTTTTTTTTGGTCAACGTTTTAAAGATTATAATCTTGAAAAATAGAAGGTTCAACCAAGTTTATAACCACAATATACCATTAACATCGTTCTAGTTGTCGTTTCATCCATTCAAACGATTTAGTTTGTAGTAGATTTTAATAAATTTGATTTAGGAATTGTCAAAAAGAATATGTTTAAACATCGAAGCGACAACATTTCGTCTAAAATAACATTTTAAAACTGTCTTATAGATATTTACACATTCGATATCAAGAACACAATCTCTAAAACAAAATTTGGAGATGACGCTAAATGCTTTATAATATTTTTTTCATTTTTAGGTGTTTTTAACTTTAAAATAAAAAAGGAAGTCGTTAAATGAAATGACAAGACGATTGTGTTTTCTTTTATATACAATCTAACATTGTTAGCTTTTCAAAATGCTTGAATTTATATTTAAAATTTTGATGGTTTTTTTTAAGGTAAAACTGCAATTGAATTTTGAGATTTTCCTACATAAGTCTAGCCAACAAAACAATGGTAAGCATATGTTTGTATTCCAACGTTTTTTGTGATATATACCACACTTTTTTCTACTAGTGCATAATTTAAACTATAGGTCTGATTGGTAACCAAAAGATGTATAAGTTTTTTAGTTGTTAGATGGAGCTGTAAGCTTTATCGAAAAAATGCAAAACTGTAAAAAAGACCTATACATAAATACTGCATAAAAAAATTGAGAATAAAACTGTTAGTAACATTTGATAAAGCTTTTATGATTGGTAATTATCAAAGCTATACATGTTGTACCGCTTTGATAATAAGTTACCATTCAAAGCTATATCTTAATAACACTGATGCAAAAGAAAGCTGTCAATTATATAAGATAATTTAGTAAGATAGGAATAGAGGTATTCCACGAGATTTGAGTGATATGGACGTGATAATGTAAAAGCAAGATTTAGGGGGTAAGATTAGATGCGAGATTCGATTTAAAAAAGACAAGTACGAATAAAGGAGAGGAGTACATGAAAACAAACAAGAAAAAGTGTATTAATTAATTAGGTTTAATTAAGGGAAGAGCATAGTGATGACAACATGGGAATTGGACCCTTTGGCTTTTTGCTTTCCAAGCCAGTAATGATGAATCGGTGAAAACTTATATTGACAACGCATAAAGACTACTTGAAATAAGTTATAATTTTTTTTTTGGTTATAATAATTATAATGAGAAAAAAGTGACTTTGTCTCTATGTCATAATCTTCATAGAAAGCATTGCCAAATCTTATGGCCACATGGACGGTGAAAGCCTTTACCCTACTCGCTACTCTAATCTATTACCTTTGCATTTTCATCATTATTACATCTTATAGTATGTAACTTTTGTATCAATTGTCATCATTATGGGTTTGTTCATTTGTTCATAAAATAGGCTGAGCCTATTAATGCTCACGGATGAACATGACCCCTACTTTTATTTACCTTTCTTGTCTAGAAATTAGAATGCTTTGTGATGTTAAGTCACAACTAGTTATGACAATCAGTTGGTTCAACAGGGCTGGTCTCAAGTTCACTGGCTCGTCCAGGGTAATAGACTTTTTTCGCAACCGATAGAGTATGGTTAAATAATTGATAAAGAAAAATATCTCACAATAGTACAATTTTATGTCATGTATATTTCATTTCACAATACCGCGGATTATATCACCAATTATCAAGTCTTTCTAAAACCTTAAGATAACCCTTTGAAGCTTTTTCTAAAGTCTTAATACAATTGATTTCGAAAAAATATGTTTTCATAATTTTAATATTATTTTAAGGTGTAATATTTTTGAAATAAAACAGAAATTTAATATAGTTAAGAATCTTCTCATGATAAAAAAAAATTAACCAGAAAATAAACAGAGCAAAAAATATTGTATTTGATGAAGAATGGAGAGTATTTTTAACACTAATAGTAATATAGTGTATGTCACATGTTTCGGGAAATGTCAAATTATCAACATACTATAAAAAAAATTGTACTCCATCCGTTTTTCTTTATTTAATGTTTTAGCCTTTAGGAGGAATTTCTTGTTTTAAAGTAGATGAATAGATGATGTTTTCAACACTAACATAAAAATAATTAGTTTTTAATTAGTTTTGACAATTTATATTCTGCATATTGTTTTATTATTGCTTTAATCATGTTTAACTAGATAGTAAATTACATTTTAGTTTAGAAATAAACAAAAATTAAATAAAATTTTAATTAATGTACAAAAACTTTAAACACAAAAAAAAAACAGAGGGAGAACATTAATATTAATATGTAGTGCAAGTAATCGACTGTGTTTTGTTTCCTAATCAAAGCATTACTAAGTAATAGGATCGATGCTTGTACAACATTGTGGAACATGTTTAGAATTAATACTTTTGTCAATTTATAAAATGTTAATATTTTTGTTTTGCTTAATAATAAATATACATGGCCGGGGGATTATTATGAGAAAGTACTAGTCACTACAAAGTTTATTACTTATGGTACATCCTTAAAGTCTTTGCTTTGGCCATACCATTTTTATGATTGATAGTGATTTGCCATCGGCCTTATTGCTTTCTTTACAAACATTTCACGTCAAAAGAAGTCAACACACACATATACACATAGAGAAACATCATTAGCTTTCCTTAATCAAAACATACAACAAAAATCTAAGAATACATTTGTAACGATCGTCATTATAGTATGCTTTTCAAGTGGATATATTTAATATTTTTTGAAAAGTCTAACTACATAAGTGCTTAATAAAACATTAGTTA